ATTTGCATATAAGATCTGTGGTTAATCTCTTCCCACCCTCCCCTCTCCCTGCTTCCCCCTGAGATTCATTAGTCTGTTCCATGTTTCCATGCCTGTGTGTTCAGCGTCTGCCCCGATGGTCAGTGCACGTCATAGCTCATGGTCAAACAGTCAAATGGTCGCTTAGGCTTTTATATATATAGCTATATAGATATAGATATAGATATGGATATAGATATAGATATAGAATAGATATAGAGACAGAAATATAGAAATATATAGATATAGATAGATAATTTTCAACAGTTCTTAAATATGAACAACACAATAAGTTATGAGATATATGCCTAAGTGACCGTCCGACCGGTAGCTATAACACACAGTGGCTACCACAGAGCAGACACTCAACGCAGGAGCTGCCAAGCTGCAGTGACTTGGCAGCTGTAGTTCTCAGGTGATGACGCACCCGGAACCAGAGAGGAGGGAGCCCAATTCTGGGGTGCGTCACCCAAGAACCACCCTCTCACAATCTGGGATCCCTCAGGGGATGTCAATGAACCAGTTTCAGCCCGAAAACCGCAGGCCAGGCCAAGGGACCCCACTAGTGCATGAATCGGTGCACCAGGTCTCTAGTATAGAAATAAGAGAAAAAACAAACAAAAAAAAAGAAGTTATGAAAACTCCAGTGGCATACTTAACTATATCAAAGGTTATAATACAGACAGTCCTCGGGGTATGTTGGACTCGATGTACGTTTCGTGGTTACTTCACCATCTTCCATTTATTTATATAAAAAAAAAATTCCATCATTTTGACGTATGTACATGTGCTTTATGTTTATTATTTATTTACTACAAGGTCAGGAATTGTTATCTTTCTTTTAAATTTTTTTACTGTTTCACTTCATTTCTGCTGTGTATGTGCTCCATGTGAGTGACGTAGGTGCTTCCTACCAGTCTCTATGTGGTCTCCACTTTATGTCCTTAGTTACAAAGGTTCTCTCCAGCTAGTCTTCAGTTGATTTTCCAGATGGTATTTCTATATTTTAATTCCAGTTTGGGAGAGTGTCAGTGTAGCTTCCACTTAATCCACCACAATTGTGGAAAAAACTAATGTGTTTTTTTAAAAAGCACTTTATAAACCGGCCCCTGCCAGTGCTTCTCATTGGTCAGAATGTCAGCCAGCTCACCAAAGGGTCGTGGGTTCAATTCCAATAAAGGGCATGTACCTAGCTTGCAGATTCGAATCCCCAAGACAACCAATCAATTTGTCTCACACTGATATTTTTCTCTCTGTCTCTTTCCTCTCCCCCACCCAAAGAAAAATCAATAGAAAAATACCCCCAGGTGAAGATTAACAAAACAAAACTAAACTAGCTTTTAACATTAGCATGTTATTCCAGGTATAGAAAGAATTATACTAACAATAATTTTTTCTGTACCAAGAACTCATTTGGGGCCTTCAAATATGGAATAAAATGTTCCTTTATTTAATAGTTGTTCAAGGGTCAACTGAATATTATAAATATACATAAAACACAGGTACATATAAAGATACAGATAATATATTTAAATAAACATATACAAATTTTCAATAAACATCCACAGGAAGAATAGATTCAGATAAAAAAATAGATAAGTAGATAATAGATGAATGGATAGATGGATGAATTAATAAATCATCTTATTCCTCTGCCTGCTTATAGACTGCAAAAGAAAGGGGTACTTAACTTTTTCATTTTATAGCATATGTAGATTCAGTATGTGATACATATAGTTTCTCATATTGCCCTGGTTAAAATGGTTCACTAGATATTTTTTGTGTATATGTATACACACACACATATACATACACATATATACAGACTACAGATATGTATATACATGTACTTATTTAGAAATAAATTCTATGAAACTAGTTTTGAATAAAAATGGCCAAGGTGCTATAGTATTATAGTCATATTCACAATAAATAGATATAATATAAATAAATATATATAACATACATCTGTATAGCTAATTTATATAAGTTTAAATATACATATAACATGCTAAAATTTTAATTTTTAAAAAGAACAAATATTTTGAAATCGCCTTTTAAAGGAGCAGAATCACTGCTTTCCTAAAATATGCAGGCAAAATGCTGGTCCCTTCATATTGTCATCTAAATTTAATCTTCACAATAACCTAGAAAGTGGAAATAATCCCATTTTTAAGTTAAGGAATTTGATGCCCCAAATGGTAAAATGACTTATGTGTTCCATAATGGTAAGGACAATTTTTATATTTTTCCAGTGTATTATCAGTGCCTTAACATGTCTCATACACGATAAACATGCAATGAATTTTGAATGGATGGATGATGATGCTCAAAGGTAGACAAGTAAATAAACTTTTTCTAAGTCCAAAGTCAGAAACAGTTTAAGAACTTCAAAATATCTAATTCAATATCCTTTTAAAAAAAGTCAAACATGCACCCTTTAAAACATTTGAGTACCTACTAAAATGCAAGAGTCCACCAGTCACATCATATTACAGGTATGTCATTACCTTTTACTAGCTTGCCTAATTTAAGATTTAAAGTACATTAACAACAAAACACACTAATAAAATGAAAAAGTAAGTATGAATTAGGGTATTTTACAAGATGAAAAGGAAAAGTAGTTGAGAAACACACAACTGAACTTATTTCTAACAAGTAGGGTTGGATCTAAAAAAATTTATGAACAAGTTTTTGTTGTTTTTCCTAAAATTTCCACTATTTGTGGTCCATTGACCAGAGCCCTCAAGGAACCTCAATACTGACTCCCATATAACCATGTTGCCCTCCTCCTTGTTACTCTTGTTTAGTAAACACAGCCACATCTCCAATATGAGTTAAAAACCTATGTTTTGGTCCTGAGTTTGTCCTGAAATTGCTGTGTTACATCTGGCAGGTAAACTTCCCTGACTTTCAATTTCCTTAAATGTACATAGGAAATTTAAATATACCAATGTTTCTCAAACATGCCTGATTATAAGAATAATAGAGGCCCAGAGCACAAAAATTTGTGCACTCGAGGGGGGGGGGGCGGTCCCTCAGTCTGGCCTGTGCCCTCTGGCAGTCTGGGACCCTTCGGGGGATGTCCACCTGCTGGCTTAGGCCCGCTCCCTGGGGGAATTGGGCCTAAGCTGGCAGTCAGACATTCCTCTGGCAGCCCAGGAGCCCTCAGGGGGTGTCCACTTGCCAGCGAGGAGTAGGCCTAAGCTGCAGTCGGACATCCTTAGCACTGCTGAGGAGGCGGGAGGGGCTCCCACCACAAATCGCTGTGCTGGCAGCCGTCAGCCTGGCTTGTGGCTGAGCAGACCTCCCCCTGTGGGAGTGCACTGCTCACCAGAGGGCAGCTCCTGCATTGAGCGTCTGCCCCCTGGTGGTCAGTGTGTGTATAGTGACCAATGATTCCCAGTTGCTCTGCTGTTAGGGTCAATTTGCATATTACCCTTTTATTATATAGGATAGAGGCCTGGTGCATGGATGGGGGCCGGCTGGTTTGCCCTGAAGGGTGTCCCGGATCAGGGTGGGAGTCCTGCTGGGGTGCCTGCCCAGCCTGGGTGAGGGACTGAGGGCCGTTTTCAGGCTGGCCACACCCACTTTAGAGAGGGGAGTCCTGATGGGGGCCTGGCCAGCCTGGGTGAGTGGCTGATGGCGGTTTTCAGGCTGGCCACAGACCCTTCAGGGTGGAGGGTCCTGCTGGGGTCCCTGGCCAATCTGGGTGAGGGGCTGATGGCTGTTTGTAGGCTGGCCAAGCTTCCCAGCCACCCAAGCTCCCAGTGGAGGCTGGCTGGAAGCAGGTATCTGGGATTTATTTAGCTTCTATAATTGAAACTTTGTTGCCTTTTTCGGAGGCCACAGCTGGCCAGAGCAGGTGGGAAGCTTGGCTTCCTCAACACCGGGGCAAGCAAGCCTCCTGCTTGCTCCAGCTCAGTGACTGCCGGTCGCCATCTTGGTTAGGTTACTTTGCATATATTCACTCTGATTGGCTGGTGGGCGTGGCTTGGGCATAGCAAAGTTATGGTCAATTAGCATCTTTGTCTTTTAATTAGTGTAGATAGAGGCCTGGTGCACAGGTGAAGGCCAGCTGGTTTTCCCTGAAGGGTGTCCCGGATCAGGGTGGGGGTCCCGCTGGGGTGCCTGGTCAGCCTGGGTGAGGAGCTGAGGTCCGTTTTCAGGCTAGCCAGCCCCTTCAGGGTGGGGGCCCTACTGGGGTGCCTGGCCAGCCTGGATGAGGGGATGATGGCCCAGGGTGGCCACAACCACGGGCTGGAAGCAGGTATCTGGGGTTTATTCATTGTCTATAATTGAAACTTTGTAGCCTTGAGCGGAGCTCAGGGCCAGCCAGGGCAGGCGGGAAGCTTGGCTTCCTCCATCTCCAGGGCAACAACCCAAGCCTCCTCCTCGCTCCATTGCCATGGCCACCGCCATCTTTGTGATGGTGTGAGGGAGTGACAGTTAATTTGCATATTACTCTTTTATTAGATAGGATACTGAAAACAGTGTTTTGTGTCCCCCACCCTAAGCCCCACCCTAGATATACTTGGGGGAATGAAAGTGAATAAATTACCATGTAAATTTTACTGATTTTTATAGTCTCTATATATTACCTTGACTTTAAGCCATACATATCCTCCCAAAGTGATCAGTTACTAAATGTTTTCAAATCTGAAAAAGTAACCTAAATATCACTCCTAAGGAATACACTGAAACGGCTTTCCTGGCACCTATTTCAGCCTGCTGGGACTTTATCATTTACTTCCTTTTCTTCTCATATGTTGAATGGCAAATCTTAAGTAAATAAATATTCATACATTAGGGAATTCCTTACAAATAAATATTCAAGTACATAAAAAATTTACAATATTCATATTCTTTAAAATTATTGCAATAAATTAAACAATTAAATAACTAAATCATTTTCATTAGAAAGTGTCTTTCATTTTTTAAAAAATGCTTGCAACAGAAAGGAATAAACAAAAGTGTCTTACCTAATCGTAATTCTCCAAAATTGCCACATCCAATTTTTTTTCCAACTCTAAAGTTAGGTCCAACCATTAAAACTCCAGAGGAGGAAGACCCAGGTCCTCGAGTGTTATGTCCCGACCGACCACTAGGTCGTGCCATTCTATCATCTGATTTGTCCTTGTCTTTCTTTTTATTATCCATATCAAGTTTGCGGTACTCCACTTTGAATTCTTTAATCAAGACAAGCACACTGAAGTAGGGTATGGTGAGAATAGGTACATCACTAGGTAACTGTACCAGGCAGGTAATGTTAACATTCAAATTTCAGTAGGTAGTCAATTAACTGGTGCGTGTTCATCCCATTCGTAAGATGTTTCTCAGTTGTCTTTTCAGCAAAACATGTCTTCAAAATTTTCTTTTCAATGATGTGCACTGATCTTGATAGAGAACTAAAATAATTAGAAAAGAAAATTAGTCAACTTATAGAATTAAAAAATATATGTTTGGGAAGTTAACACAAGTTCAAGCAATGCATTATTGCTATTTACTGATGTCCACTATAAACCAAACCACAGTTGACTCTTAAATTAACCATTATTCTTTATTTCTATAAAGGATATACAGAGAGTTCACAAAAACAAAACAAAGGAATTAGGGATTCAGTTACTTCTTAAAATTAAAAAAGTAACAAGAATGTATTGAGTATTTCATAAGCCAATAGACATTCACTAACCTAGACTTTCCAACTTAAAATCACTTCAATTAAATAAAAAAACACTATAAAAATTCCAATAAGTTACTATAAGATTTCCAATTTAAAAGCAGAAAAAGAGAATACTTTGCAAATTGGTGAAAGGTCTGAATAAAAATATCTTTCACATGTTCAGACACTTAATTTCCAAAGTCTTCATCAAATACACATTCTCACTTGATCTTCATTTATCCAAATATTTATTACCCACCAGGTGTACAAGGAAATGGTATGCAGAATTGATAATACAAAGATCACTCTTGCTACCTATCAAGAAAAAGAATTAATTCTTATGTAACATCTGAACTAGGCCTTAAAAAAATAAGTATAATTTGGCAAGGTTAAGAATTGTTGGCAGTCATCAACCTAATGAGGTAGAGAAGGAAGGTTTTTAATTTTCTAATATACTGATGAAAACACTAAAGCTCAAAGAAAAATTTCAAAGGTTTTGGGGACTTCTGCCCTATTCATGTTTTCTAGGAATTTCACCCATCAACCATATCTCGATTCTGCAGTAAATTTGCAAGCTTAAATGTGCCTATTTTTGCTTGAACCATTTGATTCCTATTATTTGAAATTAAAGACACTTCGACTTCAATAGATACTCACTAACATAGAAACTAGGATCAATAGCAAGGCCTTTTTATTCCTATCTATTCCTATTTTGTTATATAATGCAATTGTAACAAGGGTTTAAACAAAAAATATTTTCTGATTTTTAGCAACCCCCACCCAGATATGCAATCAGTCCTAACATCCAATCTATTTATTAAAAAAAAAAATTATTATATTTACCATACTCTATTTTGCAGGTGAAACTGTAAGCATCTGTTTGGTATATATAAAACAGAACTGAGTTTTACATATATATACTGTTTATTTTGTTTTCTGCTATAATGGAGTAACTGGATACTGAACTTCCCTTCCTGCTATAACTATAAAACTGGGCAAAAACATATGAAGCACTTGCTTTCAAGCATTGGATACTAGGCAGGGAAGACTGTTCTTTGAAAAAAGAGAAATAGGAAAGGTGGGTCTCACCTTCGCCCAAGCTCTCTGTCTAAGGCAGTGGTTCTCAACCTTCCTAATGCCATGACCCTTTAATACAGTTCCTCATGTTGTGGTGACCCCCAATTTGATTGTTACAAATTGAACATAATTAAAGCATAGTGATTAATCACAAAAACAATATGTAATTATATATGTTTTTCCGATGGTCTTAGGCGACCCCTGTCAAAGGGTCGTTCGACCCCCAAAGGGGTCGCGACCCACAGGTTGAGAACCGCTGGTCTAAGGACAATTATCTGACTACAGCCCAGGTGAAGCTCAGGCAGCAAACAGTGATCACAGATCAGTGTTTGGGGATGTTGAAGTAAGTGGAATTTGTAGGACATGATGCTGAAGATGAGGCAGTTGTGCAGTTTCGGGGCTAGGGAATGGTAAGGCAGACGGCTAGGCTACATATGTGAGGAGTAATATTCTGACATACCTAGCAGGCAATGGCTACTAAAGGGACAAATGAATAACAGACACTAACGGCTGCACAGTGCTGGAAGACCTTAAAGTTCCTGTCTAGTCACGAAGGAACCTCATTAATATCCCAGGAATTCAGATGAGACACCACAAAGACCAGGTCTTAAGAGTAAAGACCATAACCCAGAGGAGCGATTTTCACCCTTTTTATCTCATGGCACACATAAACTTAATTACTAAAATTCTGCGGCACACCAAAAAATATGTTTTTTGCCGATCTGACAAAAAAAAGGGTATAATTTTGATTTTCATTCACACCAGATGGCTACTGTTGTGTTGGCTATTATCATTTTTTTATTTGACAATCTAAGGGAAAAGAGGTCAGTGCCCCTGACTAAACAGTCAAGTATTAAATGTTTTAAAAATTCTTGTGCACACTGGCTGAAAATTGCTGACCTAGAGAAAAAACTACTATAGACTGTTCCAACTGAAGCCTAAAAGCAAGCCTAGACAAGAATAGCTCCAATTAAATTAACTGCATTCAGAACATAATTCAACATACTTTTTTAAAATGTTGTTTTCCTTTTTATTGAACTTAATGTAGTTCTATTAGTTAAGAAAATTATATAGGTTTCTGGTACACAATTCCACAACACATCATCTGTACACTGTATTGTGTGTTCACCACCCCAAGTCAAGTCTCCTTCCATCTGATTCATCCCCTTCTATACATTCCTCTTCCTCCACCTCCCTCTATTTCCTTCCACCCCCTCCCCCTGCCCCCAGCAATCACCACACTGTTATTTGTGCCCAAGAGTTTTTCCTTTTTTTCCTTTTTTTCTGAATTCCTCCACCCCACAACCCAACCCCACAACCCACCCCATCCCTCAGAGTTGTCAGCATGCTATCTATGAGTCTGTCTTTATTTTGCTTGTTAGTTCATTTTGTGCATCAGAATCAGAACATATTTCAACATACTTGAAAAGACAAAAAATCAAGACTCTAAACCATGTTGAATTCATAATGTCCACATACAGTTGAAAAGTACCAGACATGCAAATAAGCAGTGAGTAGTACCCACAACTGGGAAACAAAGAAAACAGATTCCAAGATGACTCTGATACTAAAATTAGAAAACAGGATTTTAAAACTATTAAACAGTTGTTAAAGTCATATTAAATTGAAAAAAATGGAATGGGGCAGAACTCATTAGGATATTATCTATGAGTGAAGAAGAATAATCAAAGTATATACAGTTGTCCCTTGAAGAACATGAGTGGTTGGGGTTGCCAAATATCTCTGAATAACTACAGTCAGCCCTCCACCAGTGCAGAGAAATTGAACTACAAGGGTCAATTGAAAAAAAATCCACCTGCATTATTCAAGGGGTCAACTGTACTAATTAGTGAGAAATGAAGCTGTTTCCTACTTCACTCCATCTAGTTCACCACATTCAGGAAACTGTCCATAAACTTTAATAAAAGATTTTTCGTTTTTTAAATATTTTTAACAAATTATATTTTTATTAAAATATTTTCTTAAGAATCTCAAATAATGCTAATACTTTCCTTATGATAGTACCTTCAAATAATATTAGAATTGCCTAGACCTGGAGAGCATTATGCTGAGCAAAATAAGCCAGGCAGAGAAAGATAAGTATCACATGATCTTATGCGACTCAAATGTGGAATCTAATGAAAAAAATAAACTAATTATCAAAAATAGACGCAGTGTCACAGAAGCATGAAAAGACTGTTGAACCTCAGAGGGAAGGCAGGGTAAGGTGGGTGGGAAGAGATCAACTAGTGAACTTGTATGCATATATGCATAACCCACGGACACAGACAATGGGGTGGTGAGGGCCTCGGGGAGGGGACAGCAGGCTGGAAGAGGTCAATGGAGGAAAAAGGAGGACCTATGTAATAGTTTCAACAATAAAGATTTTAAAAAACAACAACACAGAATTGCCTTCAAGTTTGTCTACAGCCATGGTCAGCAAACTCCAGCCAAACTTCAGGCTAAATCCAGCCTGTTGCCTATTTTGTACAAGCTGCAAACTAAGAATGGTCTTTACATTTTTATATGGTTGGGGAAATAAAAGGATTATAACATTTTGCGACACATGAAAATTATATAAAATTCAAAATTTTAGTGTTCATAGATAAATATTTATGAAGATGAATCCATGCTAATTTGTTTATGTACTGTAATGGCTGCATTATGCTATAAGAGAACAGTTGAGTAGTTGCGAGAGATCCTATGTGGCACTCATCATTTCACACTGCTGCCCAGCATACCACAAACTGCAGTGACTATCATGCTTTTAAATGGAGTGATTATGTATTTCAAATTAGATGGCAAAGTGCTGTGTTTATTATATAATGACACTACACTAAAAAAATACAATATACTTGGACTCAAAAGTATTAGTATTCTATTGCTGCATAACAAATTATCAAAAACTTAGCAGCAATACACATTTATTAGCTCACAGTTTCCATGGATCAGAAGTCTGGATATGGCTCAGCTGAATCATTTGCTTGAGTTTTCACAGGCTTCATTCATGATATCAGCTAGGCTAGGCTGCATTCTCATCTGGGGACTAAAGTTGGAAAGAATCCTCTTGCATGTTCCTTCAGATTGTGGGCAAAATTCATAACCTTGCAGTGTAAGACTGAGGGGCTCAGCTTTTTGCTAGCTCTCCAGATGGAAGCCACCCTCAGGTCCTACAGGGTACCTACAGTTGCTAGCAGCTGCCTACAGGTCCTTGCCACAAGGGTTTCTCTGACATGGACACTTACTTCTTCAAGCCCCCAAGAAGAAACTCTGGCTCCAATCTGCTAAGAGTAACTCTTATATAAGGTAACATAACCTTCCCTCATACCTAAGTCCCAATCTTTGAACCCTTCTCCCAGATCTTGGGATCTCTGCTATCCAGACCTCTTTAATGTTGCCTGTCTAATACTAGAAAGAGCACAGAATTAGAAAAAAAGGAGTCTTGGAATCCCAAATAGTTATAAAACTTTAGACAAGGTTTAATCTGTCTAATCTTATTTTAGTGGTTGTAAAACAGGAGGATTAGACCAGGAGATTTCTAAAGATGTTCTTATATTATGCACAGTATGATAATTACTTATAGTATCTAATGACAAGGGCTCTTATTTTATGTAACTGTGATCTTTGAACCTAGCACACTGCTGGGCACTTAGGTCAGTCAACAGCTATTGTAGATTCATAAATGAGTTATTTCCATCTCTAAACATTTCTAGGCTTCAGCTGCATGATTTCTATCTAAAACCCTCCCGGTTACATATCATCAGACCCCATAACAGGCTCTTCATTCACCTGAAGCACATCACCAAACCCCACATATGCCAACCAAAGTGCTACAAGCGTTCCTAAGTCACTTTCTGAATGAGATGGCACTTCCTTGCCTGAATTATTCTTCTAATACTGTCTGTATTTCTGCCTTCTGTATTGATTCATCCTAATGCCAAAGAAAACCCAGTTCTAAAAACTAGATATTCTTTTAGCTATAGCTGAAACCAGTAACCTCAGAGTCACAAATCCAAATGCAAAGCAGATAACATAAATGAATGAAACAAGCAAAGTGTAAGACAATAAGGAATATTGGACCCTAGCCGGTTTTGCTCAGTGGATAGAGCTACGGCCTGCAGACCAAAGGGTCCCAGGTTCTATTCTGGTCAAGGGCACATGCCCAGGTTGTGGGCTCTATCCCCAATGGGGGTGGGAGGGATGGGGGGCAGGCGTACAGGAAGCAGCCAATCAATGATTCTCTCATATCATTGATGTTTCTATCACTCTCTCCCTCTCCCTTAATCTCTAAAATCAATAAAAATATATTTTTAAGAATTAAAAAGGAATATTGGAAGCTATGGCAAGCTGAAAAGCAATTACCCCATTTTAAAAGGGGCAGACACTACTCAGCCGTAAACAACTGTTACCATTCAAGAATACTAGATATTCTAATTTTTCAATAAAATCCAGTAACCTAGATTTTTTATTTAAATTCTCTTCAGTTGCCTTTTGCTGAGCACTTACTCTGCTAAGTACTTAAACAGATTAGCTCATCAATTCTCACAATCATAAGATACTATTACAATACCTAATTTTACCAATAAAAATCCTGAAACTTAGAGAAATTACACTACTTGACCAGCATCATAAAATTAGGAAGTGCTGTAAAAAGAATATAACTACAAAGAATCGTATTCCTGAGGTCATATTCTTATCCACTTTTCCTCTATTATTTTTCTTGCTAATTCTGTGACCTCCCAAAGTCTGGTCTGTGCTTGTCTATCTAGATCTGCAGTGTAGGTTAGCTCCTCCTTGCCAGCCTATACTGTAAGTATATACAACACCTCAATGCTGCCAGCCTATACTATAAGTGTATACAACACCTCAATGCTGCCTAATTTGAACCAACCTGAGGGTGGAGTGGGGGAACTCACCAGTCAATAACCCCCATTCATGTACCCAGGTTTCAAGACATGTATGGACAGAAAGACTATAAATAGAAACAGCAAAAAAAGGCAAATCATTAATCTACAAAATTGCAAGGTGTTCTTACTATGATATACTCTTCTGTGGCAATATTCGATTTTTATCAGTAACTTGGTATATCTATTATCAATAGGAGACTTAGAGGGAAATAAGAAATATTAACAAACTGTAGGAAGATGGAAGAAAAGAAGCATGTACTGACAGATAAAACAATGAAGGAAATTAATGCCCAAACTAAGTGCCAGAGAAGACCACAGCTGAGTAAGCCAGACAGAAGTCCAGAAAGGCTTCCTAAAGGAAATAGGTGAAATGGTAAGCAGCAGTGAAAAGTGGAAGGGAAGCTATGTAAAAGAAAAAAACAAAAACAAATCTCTAAATAAACCAAAGGAAGTTCCAAAGGGAAATGGGGAGGAGGGGAAGAGTGGGGAAAGAGAATATATTAGCATCAGAAAGTAAAACCTGTTCCGATCTGGCATTTTGAAAAACTCCTTGCTTAAAGACTGGTTCCCTGAGTGCTCACCCTATGAACTGACTGGTCAATAAGCACCATCATGTACACAGGGCTCCAAGAGATTAATAAAAAAAAAAAAAAAGATAGCAAGAAAATCAAAACCACTTACCCAGAAATATTAACCTAACCCATCAGTCACAAACATGAATTGACAATCAAGAATCCATTCACAAACATGAACTGACAATCAAGAATCACTAGATGAGTGAAAAAATCTAATAATGACAGAAAAATAACCAAAAAAAGTAAAAAAAAAATCTGAAGGAAGCAGGTCATTTAAAAAACAGAAGAGAACAAAAATGAAAACCATTAGATCTTCAGAGGCTTTGCAGAAGAACAATCATAAATACATAGGCTAAAAAAGATAATGCCTTAAATGATAATCAAAAATAAAGTGGGACAACAATCCTAATACGTAAAGTAAAAATACAAGAAACAAAAAAATAAAGGAAAAAAGACAGAAAGAAGACATTCAATACCTCCAACTTTCTACTAATAATAGAAATTAATAGAAAGGATAAAAAAAATTTAGGTAAAGAAATTTTCCTGAGCTAGAGAAAAAGGGGCCCAGAGAGTGCTAATCAGGAAAGAAGAGTAACACAAAAATACTACTTAATTCTACTACAAATCCTAATAGTGAAAGAATGGTTAATTGATTTTCAGCTTTTAGAATCCTTATTACACCCCACAAATGCAAGATATATGTGATCGAAGAGAATATAATTTTTTTCAACCTTGACAGTGTTAAAATAACACTACAATTGACAGACACTCAGCTGATAAGGGGGAATAGAAGAGGTAGAAGGAAGAATAGGAAGGGATAAGAATATCTGTACCTTACAAAGTGCAAAGAGATAACATAAAATCTGCTAGAATGAAAAATAGAGATGTAAGAACATTATTTAAAGTGTCAAAACTAAACAATAGATGAAGTGAACACAACTACCCAAACATTTAAAGACTGAAGGGGAAGTGGGAGTGAGTTAAAATCTCAGTACTCTTAGGTATAGAATTAAAATATAATGCATCTGCAAACAAAGAAAATTTTACTTCTCCCTTTCCAATTTGGATAGCTTTTATTTCTTTTTCTTGCCTAACTGAACTGGCTAGAACTCCAGTACTGTGATGAAAGTGGTCAGAGTGGGAATCCTTGTCTTATTCCTGGTTTTAGAGGAAAAGCTTTCAATTTTTGCCATTGAGTATGATGTTAGCTGTGAGCTTGTCATAGATAGCCTTTATTTTGTTGAGATACATTCCTTCCATAGTTAATATGTTGAGAGTTTTATCATGAAAAGATGTTTTTATCTTTTAAAAAATACAAAGACTGGAGATATGAGAGAAGAGGCTATTACTTATATATATTTCAGTATTATTTTAATATTTTACTTTATATAGGCATTAACTTAATAAGATTACTAATTTTATTAACAAACTAATTTTTATCCTAAAATAAATTTAAATAAGCACGTTCAAGCCTTGGTAAGAATATTTCAAATGATTAAAAAGTAAAATAAGTGACTCTACAAATCACAGTTTTTGTTTTGGTTTGCTTTGTTTTGCTTTGCATTGCTATACTTTGCTTTGCTTTGCTTGGAATGAAAATAAAGAGTCACCAATATTGGAGACAGTTGTGGAGTTCTTAAGCTGAAATCCATCGAGCTCCTGAGCATTTTTCTTAAGAGAAAATCCAACTCCTACTGGGTAGCTCAGGTAGCTCAGTTGGTTAGAGCATCTTAAATTGTGGGTTCAATCACTGTTCAGGGCATATACAAGAATCAACCAATGGATGCATAAATAAGTGGAACAACAAATGGATGTTTCTGTTCTCTCTCTCTCTCTCTCTCTCCCCCCCCCCATCCCATCTCTTTTTAAAGATTAATAAACTACAAAAAAAAGGTTAAGAGAAAATCCATAGCTTTCAACCAATTACCAAAATATGACCCTAAAAAAGTTAAGAACTACTGAAATGCATATTGTTATTTTATTATCTCACTGAATTACTTTGAAACAATCTAAGTACACGATCTATTCTAAAAATTAAATAATATCTGTACTTTACTTAAAAGCCAACAATGTTATAGAAAAGTATTTCTGGCAGCTTAGAATAGGCGTGCGCTTGCACACACACACACACACACACACACACTACAAAAGGACTGAGAAATCAGAAAGTAAAATGTTAGAAATAAACTATGTAATACTAACTTACAAAATGCAGTTCAATACCTATACTTAATAAATTTATTTTTCTGCTTTCTAATAGTCAAGCAAAAAAACAGCCAGAAATATAAGTAGATACAAGATTTAGTGTCTATTAAAATACCAGTTGCTAAAAAGCTCACAAATAATACTAGTATTTATTGTATTATACTTACAGTTGCATTCAATAGAAATTACAAATTTTTCAGAAGCTTTAAATTCAAAACTTAAAAAAAAAGAAAGTGACAAAATACAGCTTTAAAACTTAAAAATCAGGCATCCATAGAAATAAAAACTATTGAGAGAAGAAAGCTTCATAGAAATATGCCAGGCTTATAATTTCTTACAAC